ATGGCAGATTTGGTAAGGATGGCAGATTTGGTAAGGATGGCAGATTTCATTTTTCAAAATGAAATGGCAAATCATTTGGGATGTTATAACAGTCTATGACAGCCATCACAACTACAATCAACGAGGCTAACTTTATATTCCAGATGTACTAACTGTGGCTAAATTCCACCAGCCGTTGTGGTGGGAAAGGGACCCATACCTCGAGAATCTCGAGATTACTCAAAATTAACTGAAAGATCTGCGGATGCTGGAAATCTGAAACAAAAACAGAAAATGCTGGAAGAGCTCAGCATCTATGGAGAGAAATCAGAATTAACGTCTCAAATCCAGTGACCTTTCTTCAGAACAGGGTTCTGATTTCTTTACACAGATGTTGTCAGACCTGCTGAGATTTTCCAGAAATTTCTGTTTTTGCCTCTGGATTATTAGCTTCATGACATTACCACAACTATGATATCACTGTCTCTCCAATTGTGAGTCAACCCTAACAGTCAAAAGGGAGGAGGATGTAATGGAAGAGTATTCAGGAATGGGATAACAAGCCTAGTTTTTTCAATGAGTCAGGATGAGTTGAATGGGCTATATGGCCTCATTCTGTACTGTAGAATTTATGGTTGCATGATAGTAAACACATGGTTCCCTAAAGGCAGCAGTAGCAAGCTTAGCTAACTTAAATAATTGCTCCCAGGTTCAGATCTCAAAACAGTTCTGGCTTTAGTGCATGGAAAATCTAAAGTACTGTATTCCAAGGGTAGCTGATAAAAGACCTGTAGCAATCATTTCTATCAGGAAATAAAAGTTTGACAGTTAAAATATAACGAAGCATGAAAAGACAACTTCAGGCTATGAAATTTACTGAAAACGTGCAATCAAACCTATACTCGGCTGCCAAACACTGAATATGGCTTCCTGCTCTCTTAAATCATCGTACATCAATTCAAGGTCTTAACAGTGGCAGGGATTCAGCTGAGGCTGATTAGTAAACAGGATATTGCCGGATGATTAAGATATGATATCATTTTTCCACATTCAGCTCCAGTTTAGTTCAACTACCTTCTCCGGTTTAAAGGAACAATCATTTCTGGATAGTATTTCCTACGTATTATGAAAGGCAAAACGATTGGCAAAAGAGTGTCTGTTTTGAACCACTGAAACAAAGGATCTTGTGCACTGCACAGATTGATCCTTCCAAACTTTCTAAGGGTTCACAGCATGGTGCCCAGAAATACCAACCCTGGCTAATATTCATCCTTTATCCAACATCACGAAAGACAGATCATCTGGTCCTTATTTCAATGAAAATATTCCCAACCTCAGCAAATGCATTGCTAGCATTCGGGGTTCGGGCTTATAAATCCTACCGAAGTAATGAATATGATTATGCATATAATTTTTTTTGAGAGATATGGAGGCACAGATGGGAGAAAAGCAACAACATGCGAATTAAATTCACGTCAAGAAACATTCAGCCTTGCAGAAAAGTGAATTTGCCTTTCATAGTTCTTTTTAAAGAAACTGTTTTTCAAACTCTGTCTTGGTTCTTTACTTTGGGACTCAAGGGGTTAATCACTGCATTTCATGCTGTAGCAGAACAGTCATGTCCTCTATTTCACCTCCGCAAATTGTTTATCTCGGCTATCTTAAGGTTATGTTCAAAGAAGAATGAACTTTGCACAAATATTTATCTAACAGGAGTCCCTAAAAGTCCTCTTCAATTCAAAAGATTTACAAAGAGTTGGAAGAATGGGAAAATACTGTGGCAGCCTTGAAACGAACAAAGGGAGGGGCTGTCATGGAGAGAACAATGTAGACGAAGACAGGCTGCTGTTTCATGTATAGCACAGAGGCTCAAATACTACACTGCACTTATCATTTTATTCTAGATAAAACACTTATGCTTTCAAAATTTTAAATGAACAATTCACGTTTTTTTCAAAAACAAAATTACAATTGCATATCAGCAATTTGCTGCATTTTTGCAATTACATTTTTATTTCTCTTGGTCACAATCTACTTCAATCTGATTTCTAATGGTCTGTGAGATGATAGCGAGGGATGAAAATAGCTTTAATCGAACTGTCTCTCAGTTTATTTCATTACAGCGGCTCACAGTAAGCTTCTGCTCAATAATCCCTGAACAAGCACTCTCACAAATTAAAACCACCAGTGCCCTGGGAGAGCAGAGCAAGATGTCAGGAGAAAATGAGCTCTGTTGTACTGCACTGTACTGCAGGATTTTACAAAATGGAGTACGTGAAGAAGATCTGAAGAAAACTGAATTGCAAACACAAAGGGGCTTGTGATTTAAAAAAAAATAAGAAAAATGACTTCCAGAACACATTGTTCAGAAAGGAAAATAGATAAGGAAAGCCTCAACCATATTTTAAAAATTTCTCGAAATATTTTTAAGCTTTAGAAGCAGGGTTTGTGGTTTGGCAATGGAGCTACAATTTATTGTTCAGGCCATCTGTTCAAAATTAGAGACATGTTCTTCAGTTTAACTCAAACATAAAAAACACACATTAAAAAAAAATTGCTGCCTGTTATCAATAGTGTAAGTTGAAAATACAGCAAATACAACATTTTGAGCTGTAAGATTGTGAAAAAAATTTAAATTTCATTATGCTGTTTTGACAGGGACAACACCCACCTTTTATTTAAGGAGCAATAGTGGCACCTACTGGTTCAAAGCAGTCGGTATCACAGCTCTGTGGAATGTGACAGCTGCCTGTCAAAAAGAAGTGCCGCCCCTAGTCCCTGCATATATTATTTTTTAAAGCTGGACTGTCCGCCAAAATATTTCTCAAAAAAATCTTAATATGACTTGAAATGATTAGCAAATACTTAAATGAGTGACTTAGTGAAAGATTTTAACAATTTGCAATGATTTATATGAAAGTATCCAAGCTAATCAGGACAGCAGGTTTGCACCCCTACACCTATGTCAACTTGATACAGTTTTAGAGGCATCATGATCCAAACATAGTGGGAGAACACAGTAGTTAGACAGTCGCTCTGACTCTGGATCACAATAAACCCAAAACTAACACTTACCAGGCTGATTACCCCAAACAAAACTGCACCAAAGATCTATAAATTGATAGCACTTGTAATGTCAATCACACACTGCACAACACTCCAAAGTGCTTCTCACCAATGGAGTATTTTTGAAGCATAGACAGGGTTTAGTGCACAAAAACAGGACGATGAATTTCTGCATAGAAAGCACCTACAAACAGCAATGTGCTAAATGGTTAAGTAATCGTTTTTATACAGTGTGGTGTCCACACATCATGAAAATTGGCCAGGAATCTGATAGAAGTCCCCTGCACTTCTTCACAATGTCACAGAATCTTTCATCTCTGGGAATGGCAGGCAAGCCACTGCTGTAACATCTGAAACATGGCACCTTTGACACTGCTTTGACTTCCCAAATTTGTTAATGGGATGTGGGAGTCACTGGCTAGGCCAGGTTTTGTTGCACATCCCTAATTGTCTTTGAGGTGGTGACATGGAGTTACCTGCTTGAACTGCTGCAGGCTTTGGGGTGTAAGGTCACCTTCACCCGCAGTGCTGCGAGAAAGGGAGTTCCTTTATTTTGACCCAGTAACACTGGAGGAAGAACAATATAGTTCCAAATGAGGATGGTGTTTGTATCTGCTGCCCTTTCACAGCACTGCACTCATAAACACATTAGCTGCGATTTTGTGCTCAAGTCACGAAAAAGGACTTGAACATAGAACCGCTTGACTCACAGTAGAGAATGCTACCATTGACAGAAGACTGAGGACACCTTCACTGGGTATTGGGTAGTTGGAATGTCATCTTGGAAATTGCCTGTGTACTGAATACCAGTTGAACTGAAAATCTGTGGGCCCAACAATGCAAGAAAAGTCACAAATTGCAGGATGGATAAATCCGACAGACCACAGTAAGTATGAAGACGTACAGAATTCACTAATAAAACAATGTTCCCTGAAAGAAGGCATATTCGTATTTTATAAAGACAGTACATCAGAACACAAAGTATAAAAAGCATATTGCTTTGCAGTTTGGAAAAAACTGGTCTTGATAGAGTGTCACTGCCATCTACTGGCTGAAGCATTTGGTTTGAAATGGTAGCTACGTAAATATTTCACAAGATTTTCAGCTTGCACTGAGTCAGTTAGATTCAAACTATTCTTTGCTTTTGTGAGATTATGATAAAATGCAATACATCAGCAGCAACCAAGATCATCTTGTTCAGCTATTCTGATTTAAAGCTGCAAATTTCATATTTGCAAGTCACAATTTACAATGTGGCAGCATGCAATTTGTCTCAATGAAATCGTGTGTGCTTGCACAAAAAGAATATTGTATCTCTAAGACCGCCACAAAGAGCAGCTCTGACACATCAAGCTTATGTCTAGTTACTGTAATCATTTCTGACCTGACATGTACTCAGAATAAAGAGGAAATGTTTTCCGACAATCTGCAGTCAGTTCATCAGATACTGAAATGCTTCTTTCTTTTTAAAAAAATATTCTTTCCCAAGGAAAAGTAAAAACAATTAATGTTTCTGTTAAGGGCAGTCACTCTACATGACAGCACATAAAGAGAGAAAAGGTTTCCATTGAACTAATAAGAATTAGGCATTTATTAAATCCCATGGGCAGAAACAATTTTTGTTCATGGGATGTAGACAACACTGTCTGGGTTTTATAGTCCATCCCCAAAGCCACATAAACAGCAAGGACCTCTGCCTTTCACATTCAGTCTGTGACATCTCCTGGACTGGTTTGGAATGCTCGAGAGGTACTGAGAAAGAACTTCCAGGGTATGGTCCCTCTTATTGGTGATTTTTTGGTCTGCAAGGTGGTTATATGGCTGTATGGGGGCAAGGGGGAATAGAGTGAACAAGTTACTGGGCCCCAATCCATACAATGGGGCAGGTTTGCTGAAGTTTTCCTGACTGTGAATCTTGTTCACATGCATCTTGCTTTTTTTCTGCCTGGGACCAGAATGTAAGAACAATCTCCCTCCCCAAAGTAAAACCATACTTCAGTAGTGATTAAACTTCAAAGCATTAACTGAACAGATGTACCGTAAGATCTAAATAATATGTTCCATGGTATAGTTCTCACCGATGCAGAGTGATACCTCATCCACATACAGTACATCTAAAACTACTTCTCACTTTCCATGGTCAGGCCAAGTCTCCTCGCCTCTTCCCTGGCTGATTTACGTTTGTTTACGAAGTTCCAGTATCCAGAACTTAAATTCTCATTCTTGTGTTTAAATTTTTGTGTGGTCTTGATTTCCCATTCGAATAATTTCCCCCAGACCTAAATGCTCCCTTCAAACTTGCTTTTGTCCAGGAATTCTCCTCTCCCTCCACCACTGGTTGCCACGCCGTCAACCAATAAGCCCCGTGTTCTGGAATTTGTGCTGAACACTTTCTCCTGTCCGCCTCCTCCTTTCCCAAGGTTTTCCTACAAGCTCACCTCTTTGATCAAATTGAAAAGGAAAGATTTGCAGGATTGCATAGAAAAAGCAAGGGAGTGGATCTAACTGGAAATGTCTTTCCATGAGTCAACACAAACGCAACAGGTTGTAAGGCCCAGTTCACTACTGGATGATTCTATGACCAGTCAAGCAACCCTTGCATCACATTTGGTGCAAGGCATGAGCAGTTCTTAAATACAGGATCGTGTGCTTATTTTAATGTCACCAACGTAAGCATTCTGGGCTGCCAGATGCCCCAAAAGTGAATGAAAAACAATATAAGATAAGTGCTTTCAAAGAATACACACAGGTATCAAGGACAACATCAGGTGGCTTGTCTGGCACAATCTGAGTAGACCAGAAGGTATTTTGAATTGAAAGAGCAATAGCACCGTCTGCTGTTCAATGTCGTTAACTACAACCAGAACTGAAATTACCACAATGTTCAATTCTAATACGTAAGCGATCTGAATGTTTCCTTTTCCTTTGGCTGTTTCTTTTACTTCTGCTTCTGTTTTTAATCCTGTCTTTTGTGTACTAAGATGGCACTGGAGAAAGGCAACTTTACACACTTTTCAATGTACCCCTGTATTCCTATACTTGAGGACATGAGACAATAAAACCTAAATGTAAAATTTTGACTGCTTCTTAAACAATGAAAGGATTGAAGAAAATTGTACGCTTTGGCATCACGTTTGCATGCAGTGCGTTTTGGATTATAACCTCTTTGCTACGTAAAAAGATTTTCCTCATCTCATTGTTGCTTCTTTTATCAATCATGGGATTACCTTGTTCTCTTTTCCTCCGACAGTGGGAACATTTTCTCCCTACCTCCTATGTCTAGAACACTCATAATTCTGAATACCTCTATCAAACACCTTCTTAATCTTGAATCCTTAAAGCAGAACTACTCCAGTTCCCCAACAGGTCAGATAGCTCCAATTAATGATTCATTCACGTAACCAAAACTGGCCCCTTAAAACTCCAGCCTCTCAAAGTTATATCAGGGTAAACCAACTAAAATATAACCCAAGTGCAGAGCTACTCCGGTTTCAAGGCTCGGGAGCCACAGGACGCATATCCATCCTAAAATGTAGTCAACTCCTAATTCAATTGATTCAATGATCAATAAAATCAAACTTTACTACAATAGCAGCCATGCCTTGCCACTACAGAGTAGGAAGCTTAACACAGTGTGCGCTGTGGTTAATGGATAAACTGTATCTAGCTTTCAAGAAGGCACTTAAGGTACTACATCAAAGGCTATTGAAGAAAATCAAAGCTCATAGTGTGGGACTACATATTGGCATTGACAGCGGACTGGTGCCTAACTGGAGAGATAAAGAAAGCACAAGTGGACCTTTTCCTGATTGGCAAGATAGAACTGGTGTGCTGCAGGATAAGTGCTGGGGACTCAAATTTTAATAATGTTTATAAATGCATTGGATGAAGGGACTGAAAATATGGTTCCCAAACTTGCCAATGACACAAAAGTAGACTTGAAAGTAAATTATAAAGAGGATACCAAAAAGCCACAAATGGATAGAGATAGGTTAAAAGAGTGACCAAAGAACTAGCGAATTGAGCTCAATATGGAACAATATGAAATTGTCCACTTCGGTAGGAAAAACGAAAAACATTATCTAATTATCTTATTATCTAAATGGTGAGAGATTGTAGGAGACAGAAAGTGATGGTTGGGGTTGTTTTTCAGACTGGAAGCCTGCAACCAGCAGTGTTCCACAGGGATTGGTGCTGGGTCCACTTTGGTTTGTCATTTATATAAATGATTTAGATGAGAATGTAGAAAGCATGGTAAGTAGGTCTGTGGATGACATCAAGATTGGCGGTACAGTCGACAGTGAAGGTAATCTAAGATTACAAACAGTTCTTGATCAGTTGGGTCAATGGGCAGAAGAGTGGCAGATGGAGTTTAATTTGATTAAATGCAAAGTATTACATTTTGGTAAAACAAACAAAGACAAGACTTATACAATTAAAAGTAGGGCCTTGGGCGGTGTTGTAGACCAGAGAGACCTAGGGCTTCAGGTACATTAATCTTTTTTTTGCACCACATGTAGATAAGGTGGTTAAGAAGGTGTTTAGCATGCTTGCCTTCATTGCTCAGATCTTTGAGCATAGAAACAAAAACAGACATTGCTGGAAAAGCTCAGCAGGTCTGGCAGCATCTGTGAAGCAAACATCAGAGTCAACGTTTCGGGTCCGGTGACCCTTGTTCAGACCTGTTTCGTTTTTGTTCCTGATTTACAGTTCTTTCGGTTTTTCTTTGAGCATACGAGTTTGGACATTATGCTGAGGTTGTACAGGACATTGCTAAGGCCTCTTCTGGAGTACTGTGCCCAGTTCTGCTCTCCCTGTCATATGAAGGATATTAGTAAGCTGGGGAGGGTTCAGAAGAAATTTACCAGGATGTTGCCAGGAATGGAGGGTTTGACTTACAAGGAGAGGCTGGATAGGCTGGGACTTTTTTCACTAGAGTGTAGAAAGGTGAGAGGTGACCTGATAGAGATTTATCAAATAAGGAGGGGTATAGATAAGGTGAATGGCAGGTGTCTTTTCCCGAGGGTAGGGGATTTCAAGGCCAGGGCATATTTTTAAGGAGAGGAGAACGATTTAAAATAGACACAGGGCAATTTTTTTTTTTTTTTAACACAGAGTGGTTCGTGGGTGGAATGAACTTCCAGAGGAAGTGGTGGATGCGGACACTGTTCCAACGTATAAAAGAAATTTAGGTAAGAACGTTAATAAGAAATGTTTGGAGGGATATGGGCCACTACAGGCAGTAGGGCTAGTTTAGTTTGGGAACATGGTCGGCACGGGCTGGTTGGAACGAAGGGTCTGTTTTCAGGCTGTATGACTTGATAACTCTGGACGTAAAGGGGTCAGAATGCCCTAGTGTATGAATCACAGAAGGTTAATATACAGGTACAGCAAGTCATTAGGAAAGCTGATGTAATGTAATTGTTTATTGTTAAAATCATGTACCTCTCACTTTTGAAATACTCCTTGACGCCTTAAGTATCAAGAAATCTGTTTCTTACTTAAATATATTCAGTGATTTGGTCTTCACCACTTTATAGCATTATGGGATTCCCACACAAGTACCAGCCTCTGAGTGAAGAAATTTCATCGCATCTCACTTTTAAATGGTTCACCCTACATCCAGAGTCTGACCCCTTGTTCGAGGAACCACCACCAGTGAATTCCCCCACTTAACGTCCCACAAGACAGGAATAGCATCTTTGTCCAACCCTGTCAGAAACTTTATGTGTTTCAGTGAGATCCCCTCTCATTCTTCTCTTGATGAGCATAAGTGTGCCACAGAATTCATCTGATGTGAGCTTACTATTGAAAGCACGTGGCAAGAAAGCCACGATATATTCATGGCTGAATATTTACTTGTTCTTCAAAAGACCAGCTAATGAAAGGGTCAAGACATAAATAAAGGTCAAGCAGATTGCACCGAGATTCATTGAAGTTGAGAAGAATGAGTGCTAGTCCTGTTGAAACATAAAAGATTCTGAGGGAGCTTGACAGGGAAGACACAGAGGATGTTTCCCTGTGTGGGGGATATTGAGCTCTAGTGGTACAGTTTCCTATTTAAGACTAAGATCAGGAACAATTTTGTCTCCCAAATAGCTGTTTGCCATTGGAATCCTCTTCCCCAGACAGCAATGGAGGCTGAATCATTGAATATATTCAAGGCTCAGGTAAAACAGATTCTGATCATCAAGGGAGTCAAGAGTTACAGGAAACAGACCGAAAATAGAGTGAAGAACACAAATCAGATGAACCGTGATCTTATTTAATGGTGGAGCAAGTTTGATAAGTCAAAGCTAACTCCTCCTCCAAAATCTTATGATATTATATTCATGAGCATTAGTTAAATTTCTCCAAACGTCCAGCTTCTACCACACTTTAAATTGGCAGGCAATGAGTAGGTGCTGATCAAATGTAGAAACAGGAGTAGGCCATTCAACCCTTCAAGCCTGTTCTGCCATTCACTGTGAGCTCACGGCTGATCTGTGGCTAAACCCATATATTTACTTTTTGCCCATATTTCTTAACACCTTCACTTAAAAATTTATCAATCTCCAATTTAAAATAAACTGATTTAGCATCAACCACCATTTGTCGAAGAGAGTTCCAAATCTCTACCAGCCTGTGTGTGTAGAAGTGCTTCCTAACATCTCTCCTGAATGGTCTGTCCCTAATTTTTTGAATATGTCCCCAAGTTCTAGAATGGCATTCATGGCTGTCTTTAAGCGCTTTATTGAGGATATTCCCCTCTTTTCCTTTTAGTTCCTTCAACCTATTGCCTATTACCACACTGGTCATTTAGCTTAAATTACTGTTTGAGCAATTTATTTATTTCCACATAAATAGTCCAGAGAATCTAAAAGAGAAGTAGACTCACATTACAAGTGAGTACTACACTTAAACAACAGTTGGGCAGCGCAAAAATTGCTACTGAGATTGACTACATGATGGAAATGTTATGAGATGCTTATGGGTCAGTAATAGTACAAAATAACACTGAAGAAGTCACCTACCTGGCTTGATAATCATTGCGTATCAGAAGGAAGTGTTGAAGGATTGATAGGAAGTATTGTTCTGCTTTGGAGTCCTTCACAGTGTTCAGCAGCATCTGGAAGACTTCATTCACATCTGTGCAGCTATTGTTAAGGAGCCATGTTAAAAATCCCTTCTGACATAGGAAGGAAAGAAACCGTTCCAATGTAAAAAGGCACAAAATTAAACTAAAAAAATTAACAGAAGTCAAAGTGCATATTCTTGCTACAGATAAGGATGGTTGGAATTGAAAAGTTGCCAAACTTGCCTGACAAGCTTAAGTAAAAAGACTGAATGATGGGACTTTTACTCTGGGACAGGACAACGCTTGCGATGCCCAGAAACAAACGTAGGTGGTCACAGGGACAGCCGAGTGCCAAAGTGGGCAGGTTAAAAGTCCCACCTCAGTTCTCTGTAACTTTGTACAAGTTGGGTTAAAGGTTGTGCCAACCTTGGCTTCACCCTCACACAATGCATAACAAAGACAGGTTTAAGAACATTTTCAGCAAGGGGCCTTATCATGAATGCATGGCTGGATGCGCAGGTTCAAAAGGATTTCTTTCAGCAGGGCTTTCTGTTTTGACAGTTGGACAGAATTGTCAACTTCGTTTGATTGATACCTTAAGTGGCTGTTAACAAATTGTTCTTTTTGTGATCTCTTTTGTCAATGTTTATGTTAATGTCTCAATGTTTATTTGCATACAATTAATAGCTATGAATTTTTCAAAGGCTCTATATTTGAATGGTCTGTTTGATTGACTTTTATGGAGTTATAGGAACGGATTTTTCTTGCATAAACCTAAGTTACCACAGTTGGTGATTAGTGTCATTAACAAGATGACTGATGGCTTGCAGAACATCATTGTGACAGGCCGTCAAGGCCACCTTGCCTGCTGACAATATTCCATCCTTCATTTCCCAATGAATGATATACCCACTATGCGCTCTCCATTGCTCCTATCAATACCCTTAAACCTGACTCCCTGCATGGCCATGTCTCAAACATGAACTCCCTCCTTGATTACATCCTTAAACGTACACTCTCTTTGCATAGATCATGCCCACCAACCTACACTTCCTCTGTCAATAACACCCTCACACCTACACTGTGTTGATTGTGCCCTCAAACCTGCACTCCTTTCTCATCAATGATGCCCTCAAAACCTGTCCTCCCTACTATTGATCACACTCAAGTCTATCCTCCACGTTGGTGACACCTTCAAGTCTACCCTCCCTCTCCTCCATTAACGCCCTCAAACCACATTCCCTCCATTGGTTGGTGTCAAAACCAAAACAGCGACCTACCGTTTCTCTTTTATATGCCAGCAACATGGTGACAATTGCCAGCTGATGTCTCCCATAGAAAGAGCAATTTAAATTGAGGTAAAAATATGAACTAAATCTAAATCTGACAATATAGACGATTCAATTCAATTCAATAAATCTGCGCAGTCATCGAAGGATTGCAGGATTTAGCAACTATCATTTGTTTTGGGCAGTGGTTAATTGTGTGGTTTCCATGAGTACATTTGGTCAAAATAAATTCAGTGAATTTGTACAAGGGAAATTATGGAGCAGTGATATAGACTGTACAGATAAAGAAGAATATAATTATCTAGCTATACTTACCTCTCCTCGTTTTGCCAACTTAATCATTTACAATAATAGGAAAAGGATTTTATTATGGGAACTGCACGAATGAGACTGAAGCTCATTTTTAATCACTGAGCTGTTTCAAGAATCCACATTCAACGCACCCATTACAATCCCGATATCGATCATCAACGCAAAGTGAAAGGGAAACGGGCCATGAGTATTATAATGCCACATGATTCAGCACCACCATCATAATTAAAGGTTTGCATATTCCTCCATTATCTCTGCGCTCAAAATGTTAACCCTGTTCTCTCTCACTAGTTAAACCACATCTGGAATATTGTGAACAGCTCTGATATGCAAAGATATTCTGACTTGAAGGCAATTGATAGAAGGTTCACTCTGTTGATCACGGGTATGGAGGGGTTTTCTTATAAGGAGAGGTGGAGGAGGTTAGTCCTATACACATTGGAGTTTAGAAGAATGAGAGACAACCCTAACATACAAGATTCTTAGGTTACTTGACAGAGTAGATGAGAAAAGATTGTGTCCCCTTGCGGAAGAATCTCCAACTGGAGGGCATAATCTCAAAGTACGGGGTCAGTCAGTTGCAGCAGAGATGAGGAAGAATTTCTTCTCTCAGAGAGTTATGAATCTGTGGAAATCTTTACCAGAAAAGGTTGCAAAGGCTGGGTCATTAAGTACATTCAAGACTTAGCATGACAGATATTTAATAAATAAATTAACATGCTCATGACTTTATACACCTGGTAAGGTCACTTGTTGGGACTCAGCTTTTCAGGTTGAAAAGCCCAAGTTTGTACAATCTTTCTTCACAAATCAGACACTCTACACTTTGGACCAGCCTCTTAGCTCTTCCTTTTTTCACAACATTTTCTTAAATATTTTCACCTCCCCCAGGAGGTTGCATGGCTTTCAGGTAATGTGGAGAGTCTTTACTTAATGTTGCATGAGAAAAATTGGATAGATCAGAGGGTGTCCTTTTGTCCTTCACTGTCAATATGCACTGCCTCCAGTGCTCGAGTTTCTCGTTGTGACTCAGCCACCACATAGAACACAGGACTGTACTCAAAATACAGTGGCTGATCACAGCATTATACAGTTTGATCATTGTTTGTTTCATATTCCAAAGGTTTCACAATGCATTATGTATCCCAAAACTTGATCAGTGAAAGGTTTAAATCAGAAATACATAGAACGTAGAACATAGAACATTACAGCGCAGTACAGGCTCTTCGGCCCTCGATGTTGCGCTGACCTGTGAAACCAATCTGAAGCACATCTAACCTACACTATTCCATTATCATCCATACATTTATCCAATGACCATTTAAATGTCCTTAAAGTTGGCGAGTCTACTACTGTTGCAGGCAGGGCATTCCACGCCCTTACTACTCTCGGAGTAAAGAACCTACCTCTGACAATACCACTGAAACTGCCCAAAGGAAGCTGTTTTCTTTCCCAAAATGCCTAACGGTCATGAAATGTAATATTAAAGAATTTTCTAAAAATTGCAAATCACTCCTCACGATAGCTCGAAAGCTGTTTGTAAAACAAATCTAAAACTGTACCACTTTGATTTACACGGAAATCGACTATCAACTACAAATACAAATCTATGCTTTTAAATTTGAACCCTGCGGTATTAGCAAGTGCTGACATTGGCATGCAGATATTTAATGTAATTTCCTACAGGAGATTAACAAAATAAATCAAGTAACAGCTTGGATTTTGCGATATTCATTCCATCCATCACTTCTGTGAAATTGTCTGCTCCTCAGTATGAAAAAACATTGTTTATTAGCAAAGAAAAGTTACTTTGACTACGTTAAATATGCTGCTCAACTTCTTCACAGAATATTGCAGCACAGAAAGATTCTAAGCTATCCACTGTGCCTGCTTTTTTCCCCCACTCCCAGCCTGAGTAGAGACATAGAGCGCACAGCATGGAAACAGGCCCTTCGGTTCAACTCGTCCATGCTGACTAGATACCCTAAATTAATCTAGTCCCATTTGCCAGAATTTGGCCCATATCCCTCTAAACCCTTCCTATTCATATACCCATCCAGATGCCTTTTAAATGTTGTAATTGTACCAGCCTCCGCCACTTCCTCTGGCAGCTCATTCCATACATGCACCACCCCTATGCGTGAAAAAACTGCCCCTTACGTCCCTTTTAAATCTTTCCCCTCTCGCCTTAAACCTATGCCCTCTGGTTTTCGACTTCCCTACCCTGGGGAAAAGAGTATTTGGAGTATTTGTCCATTTCCTACTTTGAGGGTTACTGATTAATCTAATGCACTGGCTTTTCAGGTGGCACGTAACAGTTATTCACTATGCAAAACTATTTAAATACAAGCAAAATACAATGGATGCTGGAAACCTGAAATGGTCACAGAAAATGGAGAAGCTCAGCAGGTCCGACAGCATCTTTAAGAGGAATCAGATCGGACTTAAAATGTTAAGTCTAATCCTCTTTCTACAGATGTTGTCAGACCTGCAGTTTCTTTAGCATTTTCTGCGTTTGTGTTGTACTTCTCATTTTACTCCTTTTTCTTTTGCCAATTACCCTATCGCCATGTTTTCTGGTTAATGACCACTACAAACAGATCTTCCCCATCTACTTTAACCAAACAGAACAGAGCTGTTATGTTGACAATGCTAATTTCAGTTGAGCTGGCAGAAGGCTAGTACAGAAGGCCTCATTTTCCCCAGGTAGTGGGGAAATAAAATGCACACTCAGCTGAAGTTCACATCATACCAATAGTGAGCCCCTGCACCGCTGCACTTGAATGTGCTTCAGTCGAGCACAGATGCAGCTTCAACTATTATTACCTTGTCTGTCAACTTTGAACTGATGAGACTCATTGCTGAGGAATGAACACAGAATGGACCAATGAGTGCTAAGCATCTCGCAGAGAGGGGAAGGAAGTGGAATGTGGACGAAATTGGTGGCAGAAAATAGCACTCCCGTAATAAAAATTAACTTTTGATTCCGTGCATCAAATTCAGCTAAAATGTTATTGCTACTGTACATGTGCACATTTTTCTGTCCAGTAATGTCTACCCCAAAGAAACTTCAGGGCTGATAATATCCGAATTGTTGCAGCAAAATGTTGAGGGTAGATTGATGAAGTTGATAAAATGGATAATGTTACTGGACTGGCTGTTCAGAAGCCCAGCTTTATTCCCTAGAGACACGTCTTCAAAGCTCACCACAGCAGCAAATGGCCTTACATCTAATCAGTCATTCCACAGAGTCTTTGGAACCCTCTCCATCAGAAAGTGGTGCAAGTGGAACTGTTCATCACTTTTAAAGCAGAGATTGATAGATTCTTGACTAATAAAGGGAATCAAATGTTACTGAGGGATGGCCAGGAACGTGAATCGGAGGCCACAATCAGATCAGCTATGATCTGATCAAATGCAGACCAGGATTAACGGCTGATGAACCTATTCTAGCTCCTGAATTATAAAATGC